GGGAACCGCAGCCCCCGGCCCGGGCCCGCCCCACGGCACCGGCGCTCCCTCCGCCCCGGGGCGGACGGGCGGGCCGGGGCTCGGCACTGTGCCCCACCCCGGGGGGCTCGGCACTGTGCCCCACCCCGGGGGGCTCGGCCCGGCCCCCTCTGGCCGCCCCAGGTGCGGAGCTGCGGGCTCGGCCCCCACCGCGGGCTCAGCGCTGGGCCGGGCCAGAGGGGCTCGGGGGCCTCCCGCCCACCTCCCACGGGTTCATCCCGGGACGCTCATTCGGGACGGCCCGGGCCCGGTTCTGCCCCTGCTCTGTCCCCGGCTGTCCCCAGGAACCTGGGGACATGCCCAGGGCAAAGGCTCCCCAAGGGCACCACTGACTGCTCTGACTGCGGGTTCCTCACATCCCTCAGGGTCACACGGAGAGAACCCAGTGACCACCTGGCACCAGCACAGCCTCCGAGCAGGCACCTCACGTTAATGCCACAGGTAAACCACTACAGACACAGTGACCAAAAACACTGCCTGCCCCCAGTTCCACCATGCAGCCACTCGGAAAACGTGTCAGAGTACAGCTGGGGTGTGGAGCTGTGAATGAGTTTCCCAAGGCACAGGCCTTGCTTACAGCGGGATTGACATCTGGGTCCTAAAAGCAGAGGGTCACTTGTTTGCTGAGGGCCTCATAGTGAAGTGCAGCTACTGAGAACACCCCGAGAACATCCCAGGAACACCTCACCACACAGGCACTGCATGCAGCCACAGTTCCTGCTCCATATTCCATCCTCACCTCCCCACTGCCAGAGGTTGTTACCCAGTGACACTTCCTTGGCTCCTGACCTGGCAATGCTGCTGTGACGCGAAAGTGTCTCTTCAGTCAGGGGAAACACTATGTGGTGTCCAGAAATAACCCATTCCTGCCTCAGGTGGATTAAAGCAAGGCTCCCACACTGGGATGAGCCAGGCATACAGGAACACCAATGTGAATTTGCTGTTCAGCAGCAGCAAAGTCATTCCCCCCTTTATTTTCCATCTGGAAAATAGAAGCCTATCACACAGAACTTGTTTTTATCAGCACTGACAAAATAAACAGTTATGGGTATGCAGGACAGAGCCAAATCCCAGGGCAGGGAAGGACAATTCCAGAGCTGTCAGTCCCTGATCCCCGATGTGTCCTTTACACCCAAACACCGACACAGGAACCCACCCACTGTGTGAAACAGAACAGCCACCAACACAATGGTCTTAACTGTTTATTCTTGGTTTTTTTTCTTTTTTTTAAAGGACAACACATTCAGACAGCTTTAAATACAACATCCACGTGCAGCTTCCAGATGAAAGCCACAGCGGGACAGCGTGTGCGCTCCCATCCATCCGCGCCGGCACCAGCCCAGGCCTGGCATGCGACAGCTCCTGGGAAAACAAAATCCGTGTTCAACGTTTCATGAACCATCTGAAGGCACAGAAGTGGTTCAGGCAGGGGCAGGACATGCCGAGCACCGAACACAGGCACAGAAGGAGCCCCCAGCTCTCTCCAAAGGCCACGGCTCAAAGCCCGGCCCAAAGCAGCAAAGGGACACAGGCCCCCTGCCCCGGGCAGTGTGGGGGAAGGCCCAGAGCCTCACAGGAACAGGCAGCAATGTGGATCAGCACTGCAGGCTGGCCCGAGGCCACCTCATTTCCCCTGCAGCACTCAGGCTGTCGCTCCTATAACCCTTTCCTGCCCATTTCCTTCCCGGCCGTGGCTGTGGGGGAAGAGACGGTGCTGGCAGTGGCGGGGAGGGCTGAGGTGCCTCCACACACCCTCTGCAGGGCCGAGGGGCACAGGGAGATGGGCTGCCATGGCCGAACCCTATTCACCATCCACTACAACCCTGGGGTGAGCCCAGCACTTGACACGTCAGGTGGGACAAGAGGAGATGTCTCTGAGCCCCACACATTCCCTCCAGCTCAGGAAACACGCCCTCGCCCTCAGGAAAATACACCCCCTTGCCCTCCCCGCTGGCACCCACAGCTCTGCCAGCTCCCTCACACGGTGCCATGCTCCCCACTGCCACCTCAAGCTGCCTCCATGGAGCCACACGTCCCCCTGCCCTGCCCCTGTGGGCACCCAGGCATGCACAGAGTATGTCTGCACTCACTCAGCTCGAGGAACTGCTTCATTCATAAACATCCTTCTTATCTGCAATGTAATCTACAATCTCCTGCGGGCACATCAACTTCTCTGCATCTCCATCAGGAATTTCAAATCCTGCAAGAAAGGGCACACACTTAGCCAAAACAACGGAAAAGGGGGCGAGGCCAAGGGAAGGGATGGCTGCTGGCCCAGGGGCTGGGCAGGGGACAGGCAGGGAGGGGACACGTGGGCAGGGGTTGATACTGCATCACTACACTATCTGAAGTGACACCACCTCTGAACACAGGACAAGGCAGGCAAAGCAGAAGCCCGTGCTTCTCATGCCTCACTAAAGCTACCAAGGCTTTCCCAGAGCTCCCACAGCTACTGGTGTGTGACATGGGGGCTATTCCTGGACCCCCAGGCAGCACCCAAAGCCCCTCAGGCTGAGGCTGCTGCTGAGGGCTCAGAAACAACCCAGAAATACAAGTTCTTCTTTCTGATACTCCTGGCCACATTCACACTCCAGCCAGCACAGGGATTACAGACACACTGCCAGCAAAGCCTCTGAGAGTGAAACATTCACCTCAGGCTAAGAGAGCCAAACACTAGGGACATCTATGGCCCAAGGTGACATTTAGGCACCTACTCCAGAATTCATGAGCTTTAAATGAAAGCATGAAGAAGTCCAAAAGGAAGTAAAAGGAAACTTGGAATACAAATCAATAGGGAGAAAACACCTTTTTCTTCTCCAGTAGCATTAAGGGTTGAGGATGAAAAAAATTCTGGTGAGAGAAAACCTGGACTGTCTGGGGTTTGTGATCTGTGAAGCCAAGCTCAGCCCAGGTGAAGCCTCCACACTCAGTGTAGCACCTACACACTGCTGCCCCCCATTAACCCACGGGGGGTGCCAGTGTGGGGTGGAAAAGAACAATTCCTGCTTCCAAGGGGCCCACGCTCAGGAACAGGACAGGGCCAGCTCCCGACTGCTGCAGGTGCCGCGGCCCCGGCACAGCTCAGCGGTGGATCTGTGTGGTTTGCTCCTCTCCCAGCGATGGGCCTGGCTGGGTTTCCCTGCCCCACAGCGGACAGGCTCGCCCCCCCCGGCAGGGATGAACCGGGCGGCCCCGGCCCCCGTTACCGAATTCGTCCTCCATGGCCATGATGATCTCCACTTGGTCCAGACTGTCCAGGCCCAGGTCCTTCATGAAGTGGGACTCGGCCGTGAGCTGGGGGAGAACAGGCCGGTCAGCGGGACCCGGCCGGGCGGCAGAGCCCCTCACACCGGCCCTGCGGCCCCGGCCCCCCGGGCACACCGCCCCCCGGGCACACCGCCCCCGGGCACACCGGCCCCGGGCACACCGGCCCTGGGCACACCGGCCCCTGGGCACACCGGCCCCTGGGCACACCGCCCCCCGGGCACACCGCCCCCCGGGCACACCGGGCCCCCGGGCACACCGGCCCCCGGTCACACCGCCCCCCGGGCACACCGCTCCCCGGGCACACCGGCCCCCGGGCACACCGGCCCCCGGGCACACCGGCCCCCCGGGCACACCGGCCCTCCCGCCGCCCCCTCGGCCCTCGCTCGCCTTCTCGGGGTCGATCTTGTCGTAGAGCTTGAGCACGTAGAGCACCCGTTCCTTGATGTCGGCCAAGGTCAGGGGCGGCAGGTCGGAGAAGCGGCGGCACGGCGGCGCGGCCGCGCGCGGCACCCGCAGGAGCGCGGGCAGCGCGGGGCGGCCCGGCGGGGCGGGCGGGACGGGCGCGGCGGGGCGAGGCGGCCGAGGGCGCGGAGGGCGGCGGGGCGGGCGGGCGGCGGCAGCAGCAGCAGCCGGGCACAGGACGAGAGGACACGGGCCGCCATCGTCGCTGTCCCGGCGGGCGCCGCGCGGGGCAGCGCCCCCTGCCGGCGGGAGGCCCCACAGCGCCCCCTGCCGCCCGGAGGCCGCACAGCGCCCCCTGCCGGCGGGAGGTCGCACAGCGCCCCCGGTACCGCCTGGCAGCGACCCCAGACTGGGTCGGGCTGGAAGGGACCACAGCGGGACACTGGTCCCACCTCCCTCCTCCTGCAGGGCACACGGCACAGAGTGTGTCCAGAGGGGTCTGGAATATCTCCACACCTGCTCTGGGCAGCCTGTTCAGTGCTCATCACTGCCCAGCAAAATTCTTCCTCATGTCTAGGTGGAACTTCCTGGGTATCAGTTCCTGCCCCTTCCTCTTGTCCCATTTCTGGGCACCCCCGAGCAGAGCCTGGTCCATCCTCTGCCCCCTCCCTGCAGGCACTGACAGAAATTGGGGTGGTCCCCTCTCAGTGTCTCTTCTCAAGGCTGAACAGCCCCAGCTGCCTCGGCCTTTCCTCATAAGGGAGATGCTCCAGTCCCTTCAGCACCTCCACAGCCTCCTCTGGACCTGCCCCAGGAGCTCCATGTCCCTCCTGTCCTGAGGACACAGCACTGCAGATGTGCCTCCCCAGGGCTGAGCAGAGGGACAGAATCACTTCCCTAATCTGCTGGGAAGGCTCTTCCCAATGCTCCAGGATCCCAGTGGCCTCCTTAGTTCTCAGGACACACTGCTGGTCCAGGACAGCAGGTCCTTCTCCACAGCCCCCAGCAGCCTGTGGCCGTGCTGCCCCCCAGCAGTGCCCCAGTATGGCAGCGGCAGACACGGAGTCATCCAAAGGCAACGTTTAATGGCACGGCACACACCTGGCACGCGCAGCCCCAGCAGCATCGCAGGTACCGGTGACGGGGTCCTGCCCCCCGTCAGGCGGCTCCCGGCTGGGGCTGCCGGTAGCGGTACAGCCGGACGGTGCCGTCGCGCTGCCCGGCCAGCAGCCCGGCCCCAGCTGTGGCCCAGCGTGCCAGCGCCCAGCGCCCCGCGGGGCCCGGGGGCAGCACCGCCGTGCAGCAGCCCCGCAGCAGGTCCCACACGGCCACCGCGCCCGACGTCAGCACAGCCGCTCCCGCCGTGCCCCACACGTCACCCTCCAGGTACCTGCAGGGACAAGGGGGGTCAGCACACGGCAGGAGGAGCTCTGCAAAAACACCACACACTGCAGGGTTTGTTCCCTTAGCTTGGGGTTCAGGTACAGATTAATGCCCAACTGCAGTCAGGCTACAGTCCGGGCTGTGCCTCCAGCACAGCAAGAAGGGAGGAGGTCAAGAAAATACTCCTTGAGACTCAGAACATACTTGAAAAAGGTGGACTCTTAAAAAAAGGTACTCTTAAAACCAACTCTGTAAAGAAAGCCCCATCCCTGTAAGTGTTCAAGGCCAGGCTGGACAGGGCTTGGAGCAACCTGGTCTAATGGAAGGTGTCCCTGCCCATGGCAGGGGGTGGAACTGGACGATCTTTAAGGTCCCTTCCCACCCAAACCAATTTGTGATTCCATGCCTGTTCAGTAAGCAAGATCTTGATCCACTGCTACTCCCATACATCCATCACATTTCCTGTGCAAGGAACACTGCAAGGCTGAGCCTTATAGCCAAGGCTGAACCTGCTGACGCTTCAAAACACAGGGCACAGGAAGGAAAAGGCCATCTGCCTGCAGCACTGCTCCACACAAACCAACCTGGCCTGGGGCTCTCCAGCAGCCAAGAGTGCCACTGCTGCAGGCAGCACCACGGGCTTGCCTGAGGAGCCCAGGGACACAGACCCCCAGCCCCAGTGCTGGGGCGAGGGTCAGGGCACAGCAGGAAGAGGCCCACCCACACCCCCAGCCCTGCCAGCCGTGCACCGGACACGCGGCAGCGCCGGATGCAGCCCCTTATCGCTGGGGAGACGGCAACGGGATCCCTGCCAGCGCTGCTGCACTCTCAGGGTCCTCCCACAGCCCCTGGAAGGGCCAGAACAGCCCCAGCCCCCAGCACTTGCCTCCCCGCAGGGCTGGGCGGGAGGGAGGAGAACATCACCCCCCGGCTCCTGCCTGTGCTGGGGTTGAAGGCCACCACGCGGAACGCTGGGTTTCCACAGGACTCGCTCTCTTTGGCATGTGGATGGCTTAAAACAACAAACAGAAGGCCCTGATAGAGAGAGGGAAAATACATCACTAAAAACAACAGCAGGAGGGGAAAAACGCAAAGAACTTTCCAAAAATTAACAGCTGCAGTCCCTCTCTAATCACAGCCCCGTGGACAGTGATACATTATTTTTACTGAAGAAAACAGAAATGGTTTACTTTCCTTATCAAATTAGATAAAAACCAAAGCAGCAGCTGGCTGATAAGGGTTGATGCAACACAGCAGAGTGACAGCTCAGTGACCCAGTTATGCATTTATATTCAATCCCCAAGAAACCTCAATCCTTTGCGTCCCCAGCCCAGTCAGCGCAGCCCAAGCATGAACTGAGTTTCATGTACGTACAGAGTCGGAATACGCTCGATGGCAGATGGAAGCTGGGTAGGAATAACCAACGTGCATCTTCCTCAGGAGCTGGCCCGTTTTCAGATTCCTGCAGTTGGTGAAAACAAACTCTGACACATTTTCATCCTCTAATCACAGTTACACCACTATGCAGGATGGACATGGGTTTGGTTCCACATCAACCAAACAAGCCAAGAGGCCACAGGGAGGGTGTAATAAGAATGATGCAAAAGCAATGAATTATAGCAGCACAGTTCATTCCCTGTCCATAAGACTGTGGGGCCACACTGCAGATCCTCTGACAACCACCATTTCACAGGTGGCTCAGCAGCCAGCCAGCACCCCTGCACAACCCTGCAGCTCTCTGCTACAGCCCCCACCCCCCTAAACCGTGTGATGGCAAGGAAACACTGACCATACCACGACGCTGTTGGCTGCAGTGGTGCCCACCAAGGCCTCTCTCATCCCTTCTACTTCAGCAAAGGCTGTAACAGTTTCTTCAGGGGGCATCAGGGTCTGCCTGTCCTTGCTCCTGAAGGGAGATTAGCACAAAGAAAAGCAAAATAACAAGTGCCTGTTCTGTGCTCAGCACCACTCCAGGAAGAACAGGAACCCACTTGTTCTACACTCAAGATGTTTCCTCACTTTTATCCCACCTGCCACACTGAGACCACCCCGAACCAGCACCCCCAAACTCACCCTCCTGTCCCTGAGAGCCACACCATCTCCACTTGCTGCTCCTGCAGGGTCCTGATGCTGCTCACTACCCTCTGGTCCTTTAGCCCAACAACTGCTTTTATATTTCCAGATTTCACCAGGGAGTGCTTGAACAAGTCAGTCTCAGAAGAATAAAGCAAGGTCCTAAATCAAGAGACAAGCACATACCATGACAGGAGGAAGCACCACTCAAACATGCCATAGCATGTACAAATCAGCCTATATTCACTCAGTCTGCCAGCTCTGGGGTGAATGATCAAGTCTTTATAGCTGATTTTTAGAAATCCCTTGCACCTTTTCCAATTGCTAAAGCAACTGAGAAAGTAACACATTAATAAAAAGATAATTTCAGCCACTACTAAGAAGGTAGCAGTGAGGAGAACTAAGCTGCAACCACTCAGGGGGCAAAGTGGTAGCAATAAATAAATACAAAACCTTATTTCTCCAATCTCCAGCTCTCCCAGTGCTACACACACGAGGTTACAGGTGTCCGGCAGAGGAACGATCTGGATTACAGGAATCTGGGACAGCAAAATAAGAATTCAGTGTCACCCACAGTGTCCCTTTGACTTTATGCTCATTTTCTAGACTGTTTCAAGTAAAGAACTTGGAGCAGAACTAATTTTCAGACCGTTCTCAAGAAGCACACTAAGACAAATAGCTGAATTGTCTGCTGCCTGTTCACCTAAATAAACAATCCCTATTAATATAAGGAGCAAAAAGTGTCTCTAAGGACTGTAAGAGGAAAGAGCACCAGGCAGTGGCTGAAGTGCAGCCACCATTCTGTGCATGAAGCATCACATTCCAGTAGATAACATGTGACCATAGAAGCTACAAGCTCCTTGTATCTTGGGAACTAACACATAGGGTAAGAAAACTGCCGAAAATTCTAGAAATAAGGACTGTATTCATACCTCTCCCAGCTGCCAGGTGCAGACCTTTCCCCAGTGGTTGGGTGCCAGAGGTTCCCACAGGGACACAGAGCTCTCGGAAGCAGTGATCACACGCAGCTCCCTGCAGCCAGCTGCTTCCCACCACACTGTGCTCACATCCACAGCACAGGAACCCGAGGAATCCTGCCCAAAACAAACCAGGGTTGGTTTTCCCCTGATGGACAAAATTATCAGTTGCATTTTTGTTAAACTTGGTCTTGCAAAGCCACTGCTCTCCCACCTTTAGCTCTGACACAAGCTGCAAGTTCTCTTCTTTGGGGCCATCTGGCAGCACTGGAGTCAACTGTTCTGCTCCATCATTTTTCTGCACAAACAAGTAAAGAAGGAGGATAGTAAAGAAGGAGGATAGTTCAACTTTGAAATGACATTCAGCACCTGCAAGAATGAGGCAGAAGTGCTGTGTGCTCCCTGTCACTCTCATGCAGTCACTCTGCATGCTGTTGCTGGAGAGCTATGATCCATGCAGGACTAGCATGCAATGAGGCCTCTCCCCTCAAGTCAGACAAGACTCTGGAAAAGGGGATTTGCCCACAAACCCCCTGGCTTAGTACCCCTGGCAAAGAGCCCAGCTGGTTACCTGTTCAGGAGAAGCTCTGCAGGATCCCTGCTCTTTGCTCTCTGACTGCTGATGCTCATCCAAGGCCACAGCCTGATCAGATTTATTCTCAGTACCTCTTTCATCTGCTAAAGGAAACATTGTACCTCGTTCCTCCCCATTTGTGGCAGCCTCTGCACCACAGCTGTCCGGGAGCAGTGGCACGGCAGGGTCCTTGTGTGCCCCATCCCCCAGGACCTGGGCAGCTCCTCTGCAGGAAGGCAGGGTCCCTTGCGAGGTGGGCACAGAAGGCGGGCATGGGAAGACCTCACTGTGCACTGAAGGTAAAACACCTGGGGTTGCACCCACGGCAGGGAAAACAGAGGAGGAAATCTGAGACTCAGGCTGGGTGGGAGCCCCAGCTGAGACAGTCCCCATGGGAGTAAACAGCAACTCATGGGTGGAAAGCTCCTTCTTGGAAGCCGGGCTTTCCACGTGAAGGAGCTTGGGCAATCCGGATTTGGAAGGTGAAATCAAATTACTTCTGAGACTGTTTTCTTCTGGATTCATTTGCGCACTTGGTGTGTCCTGTGGGGCCACCCCATCCCCAGACACACCCGGAACAAAATCCTCCAAGTCATTCACAGGGGAAGATTTCAATTTCTCCAGTTTCAGTACTCCAAATTCCTCGTTTGGTAAGTGGAAGTCCCTGATGCCCAGTCTGGGGAGCAGCCACTGGGGGCTGCGGAAGGAGAAGAGGGAGCAGCGAGTGTCAGGGTCTGCAGCAGGGAGGCTGAGAGCAGCAGGACCCTCTGAGCCCACGGGACAGCTGCGTTCTCTGCTGCTGCCACCTAAACACAAGAAAACAAGAGAGAACATCAGCAACTTGCCTTTCAGAATCTCTCATCCAGACTGCCACTCCAATATATTTAAAAAAAAAAAAAGAGCCATATCCATCTTAAGACATGGAAGTGGCTCTTTTCTGGAAAGACATTACAATCTGCAGTTGCTCTGCATCAAGCCTTCAGCTCAGAGGTCATAGCCAAAGCCTGGCAGAACTGAGTGCTTGCTCAGTTTGGTTTGTTGGATTTTCTCCCAACACTTTTCACAATATTCACAGACTGTCAGACTCTCAGGCTGTGAGAGTGTTTCACACTTGTTAGCACTAAAAGAAAATACTCATTAGGATGCACACTCAGTTGGAGGAACAGATGGACACCCATTTGCTGGAAATCAGCTCCACTGTGCACAACCTTTGCTCCAAGAGCAACGGCAGCTCAGGAAGTTCTCAGCCCTGCTCCTCTGCTGTTCACTTCCTGTCACTGGCCTGAAGCAAAAGTTTCTGGAATTGCTCAAGGAACAGGGGCACCGCAATGATCTAATTCTTTAAAAAATACCTCTTTTATTATAAAAAAAAGAAATAGTTAATCCCTCTGATATTTTCCTGACTAAACACTGCAGGGTGTGAACAGCAGGGCCTGCACTGGCCGTTCCCCTGCCAGGGGGAATGGGAGTTGTGGGGAGTGCTCAATGAGGCGGTACCTGCTGAGCCCTGCAGGGTCCTGTGTCTCGCCGAGCAGCGCAGGGAGCGGCGCAGGGGGACACTGATCCCAGGGAGCTGCTCCACCCCGCTGGCTCCTCGCCGGCTCCTCACGCTCGCCACTGGATGTTTATCAGCCTGACACACAGGCGAGTTGGCATCCAGATCTCCCATGTGCCTGGCAAAAGTTTCGTTCCCCGTGCTCATGGCAGCGCTGCTCTGAAGTGGGTTTTGAACCTGCTCTAACAGAGTTTCACAGCATTTGCCTGGCACTTGGCTCCCTCCCTGAGGAGGATCAGGACCCGCTGGCTGTGCAGCTTCAGTCACTCCTGTCTCTCCAGACTTCAATGCTGCAGCATCAGACTTGCTCTCATCTGAGGATGACTTTCCAAGGTTAGCATCACAGTTTTCCTTTTCACTCTGGCTCTCACTTGGCAGCAGAGCACTTGTTTCCCTGGCTGTTGTGAGATCCACACTCTCCATAAGCTCCTGTGACACTGGATGCACAGGGGCTTTGCAGGTAGACCTTCTTCTTCCCTTCCGGTTCCTCTGGGATCGACTCTGCTCTTGCCTTGTGCTAATGATGCTTTTCTGAGAAATGGATCCAAGTGAAGTGCTGCTGCTGCTGGACACAGGAAGAGATTTCTCAGAACTACTTGAGTTTGCTTGATCCTTTTCTACCCCAAGAAAAGGGAACGGCACGAGCCCTGACTCTAAATCCCCCTCAGCTCTCTCTTGGGAGGGCTGATCTGAGTTTGCATCTTTCTGCATGCACTTACTCCGCTGACCTTTCTTGCTCCTGCCCAGCTGGCTGAGGATTACAGCATCCAGGTCCACCTTCCTCTGGCAGCTGGACATGCGGCGAGTTGTCCTGACGTAGTACTCGACAGGGAAGAGCAGCCCCTCCACCACTGTGCAAGAGCTCAGCGCGCCCTCGGGAGCCATCGCCTCTTTGGGAGGAAAAAGTCTTGACTGGATTCCAAGCTGTCGATTCTCCGACAGTTCTTGAGCACTGCCCAGAGCACGATCTGCAGGACAGGGATTTAAGGTATCAGCGCCACTTTCGTTTCCTTCATGGCTTTTGCTTTCCTTGGTTACAGTGTTATTTCCGTCCTCAGGCAATACTTCATTTTCTGACATTAAATCCAGGAGCCCACATAATTCTCCCTGATCTTCATGCAAAACCTTACCATCCAGTTGTTTTATTACACTGGGGGATTCTTCTCCTCCATCACCTCTGGTGTTGAGTAAAACAGAGTCTCTGTCCTGTGAACATGGCTCACGGCTGCCAGGTATGGTCACAGCCTGCGGGCACTTGAGCTGCTCGATGGCACTGCTGTCCCTGACCTCATGTGGGGACAGCTCAGGCTCTCCTGCAGTGACACTGTCCTCAAACACCTCCTGTACAACTCTGGATGTGGCTTCAAATTCACAAGGAGCGAAACTGTTTCCTTCTCCCTTCGCAAGAGCTGGCCTAGATGCCCTTTCAGGATGTTCCTCAGTGTGAGAGAGGGTGCTGTGCCTGAACACTGGTGACTGAAGCTCCTCTGCACTGGCAGTTTGATTTTTCACTGTTTCATCAGTGCTGATTACATGCCCATCACCCACTGATTTCCTTTCCTTTGATTCCAGAGCCTTTGTCCGTCTCCTCAGCTTCATCATGCCTCTGGAGGTTTGGGATGTTTTCTCCTCAAGGACAGGCCTAATGATCCCATAGCACAGGTTTTCCTGGTTTGCCTGAACACTTTCTGCCCGTGAACTGTCCTGCAGGCTAACATCATCACTGGAGAATTCTGCAATGTGTTTAAATGCGACAGATGTTGCCTCCTCCGTGTCAACATCAGAGCAGGTTTTAGTCTGTAACTGAGGGAGTCCACCTCTGTCAGCACTAGGAGATGCATTATCTTTAGAACCTGGGAGAAAAAAATGTCACACGTGTGAAGTACTTTCAAAGTCCTGTCCAAGAAAAACATTACTTTGTTAGGAGGGAAAGATGGGGATCTTACAGTCGGGATCAGAGCACTGGAGACCTGGTGAGGAAGGAAGCAGAGATGTTACTGCAGAGCACGGCTCAGCCCAGGGGAAGGGTCGTGTGCAGGTGTGGGGGCAGCAGATGTGGCTGCATCGGGCGAGGGGACAGGGGGCGAGGGGGTCGGCAGGGCTGGTCCATCCCAGCTCCGCAGGGGCACTGAGGGGCCACAGCGGCTGGGCCGGGCCGGGCCCCCGGACCCACTGCCTGTGGAGGGTAAGGGTACACGGCAGCTGACGGGGTCCCCAGGCGCTCCCTCCGCCCCACCGCGAAGTTGGGAGGTCGCCCACCACCTCCCACCCGGGGGGCTCCGCTCCCACCACCTCCCGCCCGGGGGCCTGCCCCACCACCCCCACCCGGGGCCCGCTCCCACCACCCCCACCCGGGGGGCTCCGCTCCCACCACCTCCCGCCCGGGGGGCTCCGCTCCCACCACCTCCCGCCCGGGGGGCTCCGCTCCCACCCCGTCCCACCTGGGGGGCTCCGCTCCCACCCCGTCCCGCCCGGGGGGCTCCGCTCCCACCCCGTCCCACCTGGGGGGCTCCGCTCCCGCCGGCCGTGGCTCCTGGCTCGCTCGGCTCGCCGCGCCCGCTGCGGACACACAACACCCCGGCGGGGCTGGGACCGGCTCCCGGGGCCGCGGTGTCCCCCGCCGTGCCCCGGCCCGGCCCTGCCCGCTCACCCGCAGCCGGATGACGGTCTCGCTGTACTCCCGCCTCAGCAGCGCCAGCTTCTCCCGCAGCTGCAAGAGACACCACCGGGCTGGGTTGGGACAGGGACAGGGACCGGGACCGGCCCCAGCCCCGCCGCCGGCCCCGCACGGCCCCGCCCGGCCCCGCACCTTCTCCCTGTCGGCGCCGCTCAGGGCCGCCGCCCGCGGCTCCTCCATGGCAACGGCGCGGCGGGAGCGGGCGGAGGTGACGCGGCGGAAGCGGGGCCGGGCGGGGCCGGCACGGCCATGGAGCTCAGCGAGATGCTCTACAACAAGTCCGAGTACATCGAGACGGTGCGGGGGCCGGGGAGCGGGGAACTGGGGGGGCGGAGAACTGGAGGGGCCGAGCCGGGCCCGTCCGGGTGTCACGGGGGTGGCGGGGCCCGGCAGAGCCGCCTTGACGCGCCCGTTCTCCCCGCAGGCCTCCGGCAACAAGGTGAGCCGGCAGTCCGTGCTGTGCGGCAGCCAGAACATCGTCCTCAACGGCAAGGTGAGAACAACAGCGCCGTGTTTGTGCCTAAGCCTGGCGTTATGTCTGGCTCACCCTGTGCTGCTCGGGGGCGCGGCTGGTTGTTCCAGCCTCCTCCTGTGCTTTTGCTTTGTTCTCGCTTTTCTTTCGACTGAAAGAATCAGCTCTAAGGTAACATAATCTTGCTGGAGTGACCAGCCCTTGCAATGAGTTTGTGTAACAACTGCTAACACGGCTAGGAGTTGGATTTCCCGTACCTCTCTTCCCTTCTGCAGACAATCGTTATGAATGACTGCATCATCCGCGGGGACCTGGCCAACGTGCGGGTGGGACGGCACTGCGTGGTCAAGAGCCGCAGCGTCATCAGGCCACCCTTCAAGAAGTTCAGCAAAGGGTGAGAGGCCCCTTCCTTTAGGGAGACACCTAAAAATATCTGTCAGCTTGACTAAGACTGTCATTCAGAGGACCCTGTTCCTTTTGCAGTAATTTGCAGAAATACATTTGTCTAAACCTGTCTCAAATGTTCAACTGTGCCTTGAGGGTTAGTGTTCACTTCAGGCCAATATAGAAGGGCTGGGATATATTAGAATAGCAAAGTAAATGTTTTTGTTGCTCTTTGTTTAGTTACAACGTCTCCCTGGTGCTCATTTGAGCCATCCTTTAGAAAGAGAGGAGAAAAAGCATTTACTGTTTTGTCTCCCTTAGCACCAAATCTACGTCTGCTAATCCATCTGGGGATGGGAGACTCCACAGGGTGATTTTGGGTCTAGCAGTGTCAGTTTGTTTATTGTGCACCAAACAAATACCTCTCCTGTCGCAGGGTGGCTTTCTTCCCTCTCCACATTGGTGACCATGTGTTCATAGAAGAGGACTGTGTTGTCAACGCGGCTCAGATCGGCTCCTACGTGCACATAGGCAAGAACTGTGTCATTGTGAGTGCCATTTTGTCCTCTCTGCAAACTCCTGGGCACTGCTGAGGCTTTGGGACAACAGCTGAGAGGTGTCTGCACCAGCTGGCTAGAGCAGGCACTTACTCTGTGCTGTGCCTTCCTCCTCCTCTTGCTTCTCTGCAGGAAGCAGGGCTTTCAGGTTTGGTTTCCAAGGACAGCAGGTTCAGCTGCTGCTGGTTGGAAAATCCATCCCAGCAATGTTGTCCCTGTGGCTAATGGGACTGCCCAGGGAAGGCAGCCTGACCACAGGGTATACAAGTGGAGTTGTGTTTCTGTGCAAATAACACCAAATAGTCAAGGTTGCTGAGGTAGAAAAGGTCTTGCTGGCACTTCATGACTTGGGTCAATTAGCACATTGACTTGTTAATGTGCAGTTACCTGTACCTGTGCTAGTTAAAAGCAAACACGGTTTTCCTCAAAAAGAAAAATTAATTCTGTTGGGAGGAGCATTCAGTCAGGGTAAAGAATTATTCCTGTGATCCCTTATGCAGAATGTGTTTTGAACAATTAATCTTGAAATTTAGGTAATGTATCAGTAATAAGCTAAAGATCTCATGTTTATAGTGTTTTAAGTATAAACTTTTCCTGTTCTCTGTTTTAGGGTCGTAGATGTGTTTTGAAAGACTGCTGCAAAATCTTGGACAACACAGTACTCCCTCCTGAAACTGTAGTCCCACCTTTCACTGTCTTCTCAGGCTGCCCGGGTATGCTCCTTCTAACTTCCCTTTCACAGGAGCGTGGATAACATGGATATTCTTATTTTAAATGAAATTGCTATAACATAGTTGCTTATTAGCATTTAGTGCCTAGAAATAAAGGTATCGGGCAGTTGCTGCACTGAAAAGTAACAGTTTAAACTTGTGAAACTCCCTGCTTTAGTGCACAGTGGGCAGGGCGTTCACGATGACTGATGTCAATACTGTTGTTCTTCTTCCAGGACTCTTCTCAGGGGAGCTCCCGGAATGCACCCAGGAACTCATGATTGATGTTACCAAGAGCTATTACCAGAAGTTCTTGCCACTCACTCAGGTCTAGTAGCCCATTTCCCATGTTTCAGGCACACAGGAGCGTTCTGGGGGTGGGGAGAGGGATTTGTCCAGTGAGACCAGGGCCCGGCCCTCCACTCTCCTGAGCACTTGTGTGAGTGTCCCTCAACACCACCAGCCTGGCCAAGCAGTCCCTCGTGAAAGCTGCAGTGTCCTGTTCAAACTTTGTATGCTCATGCGATGTACTCCATTCCACATTGTCTGAACTGTGCCACTGAATGTTCTGGAGCTGGGAAAGCTGATACCCCTGCCTTGGGACAGCAGCTGGGGAATGAGGCAGAGCTGACGTGCTCTGCAGCTTCAGCCTGTGTGGTCAGTTCTGTCCTAGCCCAAAGCCTGGGGGTTTAGGTTTGCTAGGAGCACTCTCCACCTCAGCAGGGCTGTTTTGGGTGTGGTCCGGACACCTACTACGGTTCCTTAGACCCAGGGCTTTCCTTTGGCAAAATATTTGCTGCTCCATGGGCCTGTGGGCTGAGATGGATGGCCTCTTCCTTTTCTCCCTGATTCTCTTCTGTAGGGGCATCATTCATAATCCTGCTATTGGCTTTAGGAATTTTGCCTGACATTGACACCTGTCTTTCTGTGCCTGACAGGATGTTTCTTAGCTTTTAGCTCCTGAAGCAGACTGACATCAGTCCTGTGCTCTCACCCCTCAGGGTTAGTGTTCTTGTGGCCAGTGCTTGTTCTACTTCTGAACATCACAGACCTTAAAGAGCCAAAGGCCTTTGGAAAGAAGTTTGCCATGTCACTCACAGAATTCAGTGCAGCAGAAAGTGGGTAATTAAAAGCAGTGGATGAGAGACTGCTGCAGCTGTCCCCATTTATTACCCAGTGTCTATATTTGCAGAGAGCTCTTTGGTGCTTTTCTGCATTATAAAGCTTAGGAATGAGACTCAGACTTCTTGAAAAGAGCGAACACTTCATTTTGGACATGTAGTAAGAGCAAGAATAGTTCTTTCTGGGAGCAGCTCTGAAAGTTAGAGGCATCTGATGCTTTTGTATCTGCCAGAGTACAGACAACTGGCTGCACATGAGTCTGCCTGCTCTGGTTGTGCTCTACTAAAGCTTAGGATCATACTGCTCTAGGTTTTAAACTGGGGGTCCTGCATGTTGTAGTGTAGCAGCTGGGGCCAGGACATTAGTTTAGGTGCGTTGTAGGTGTGTGGTTGTGGATGAGCAGCCCTGGAGCCCTCAGCTGATCTGTGCAATGCAAATGCTGATACACCTTCATAGCAAACAGTTGTACAAGTACTAATGTGTGTAGTAGCTGCTGTTCATCACATGTAAAACCACTGACTGGTTTGTTTGTGTTTTTACTGTACATAAATTAAAGCCTCTCCAGTTATTCAAGTGACTCAAGGTTGTACCTCTTCAAATCAAGCTTGAGACTAGACTGAGGTTCCTGCTATGCCTGGGCATGAGCCACAGTCCCTTGTCCTGTTACAGGCTGTTGTAGCTGTCAGAGTGTCAGTGCATTAAAGAAGTGAAGTACAGAGTGATACAGCTGCTTTCTCCCTCTGAGGGGCTGGAGAGGCCTGCCCTGTCATCAGACCCAACATGTTTGGGGCTTCCTGTGAGATTCTCTGCAAGTCCAGTGTTCAGAGCGTGCCCTTGGGTGTCCCTGGCAGTGTCTGGCAGGAGTCTGGCGGTGTCTGTGCTGTCTTGCCATGGTGTCACCTCAAAGTTTCAACACCACATGCTGCATTTTACGGGATCGCTTGATCAGCAGCTGCAGTGGCTGGGAGAGGGGTGGGAGGAGGGATGTGAGTTGGGATGGAGTGGGATGGCAGCTGGAAAAGTGTGAGTGATGCATTTCCACAATCACCTGAGAGCAGAGCTGTAGAGCATGGAGGGATTTGTCACTGCAGTTATGTGTTTCATGGCGTCCTCTTCCTTCTAACAGGCTGAGCCAACCCTTCTGCCTTAACTAAAACCTCTTTTGTTGTCTCTGTTAAGGTGGCCTCTGCCCGGGCCTAAAACCAAGCTGCCACTGAAGATCCCAAACACCCAGCACTGTTAACATTCCTTACATTGGCCACTTTCTCCTCCTGTCTCTGAAGCATCCCTCTGACCTGTGCTCACCTCTCCGCCTGTGCCAGCTCTGGGAAGATGGAGTGTCAGTGGCTGCCACAGCCCGGGCAGCCCCAGCTCTGCTGGCAGCGTTCGGTCCAGCGCGGTGCAGTAAAACCTGACCCGTGAGGGGCTGTGCCTGTAGCCAGGGAGCTGCACGAAGCATGTCCTGCAGGGAGGGGAGTGCCTTCTTTCAGGAATCCTGTACAAACACTGAGCACTTCAACCCCCAAGTCGCTGTGTCGCTTCATTGGTCCTGCTTTGCTCCTGTGTGCTTTGCTCCGGGTTGCTCCAGCCAAGGGGCAGGCCGTGCTGCCTGTGTTTCAGGTGTCCAGAGTCCCTGGGAACACACCTCCCGCTCTGTGCCAAGCACCAATGGCTCAGCAGGAGGAGCTGAGGTGACTGGTGAGGGGCTGTGTGGGAAGGTCACACAGTCACCGGGTGAGTGGGGGCTGTGTCCGCTTTGTGGGGAGCAGAATCTCCCGAGATGATCCAGCTCCATGGGGGGAATGACAGCTGAATTGGCTGTGGTGATCTGCAGGGCTCAGGGCTTGGTCCCACGTACTGGGCTCTCCAGGACACCCTGGGGACCCACAGCCTATGCCAGTGGGTCAGGGCCAGCTGGGGCAGTGGCTCAACTCGCGGGGCCAGCCTTCTGTTCTTCATTAGCCAGGGCTGAAAGAGAGCGGCTGTTGACGGGGAAGGAAGGCCAAAGGAGGTGAAGTCCCTGCCCTCATCCCGCTTGCAGCCAGGTGGGACTGTGTGTGCCTGGAGGCAGAGAGCAGGCACCTGGGCTGGGCTGCTGCTTTTGTGCCCTTTTGGGTTATTTTTCATTGGTGTTTTGTTCTGTGCCAGCAGGCAGCAAGGTGGGGTCGAGGGATGGGAACATCCCGTGGTCACTTCTCTTGGCGAGGGGTGCCAGGCGCAGGAGCAGTGCCGGGGTGGGGGTGCCCTGGGGTGGGGGTCACTGAGCAGCGTGTCCATGCGGGGAGTGGGAAGAGGAGGGTGAAGAAATCGTTGGTGAGGTCAGGAAGAGCCCACAGGACTGTGAGAACGTCAGCCGAGAGGCAGTGGGAGCGAGGGGGAGCCAGTCCGGGTTCCCGATTCCCGGTTCCCGATTCCCGGTTCCCGGGTGGCCATTGCCGGCAGCGGGAGCGAGGGGGAGCCAGTCCGGGTTCCCGATTCCCGGGTCCCCGATTCCCGGTTCCCGATTCCCGGTTCCCGGGTCGCCATTGCCGGCAGCGGGAGCGCGCTCCGCGCGTGCCCGGCAGCGCTCGCGCAGGGGCGTGTCCGAGCGCGCCTGGCCCCGCCCCGGCGGCGCGTGCCCCTCTGGCTCCCATGGTGCCCCGCGCGCGCGTGGATTTTAAATCCTCGGGCCAATGGGGAGCGGCCGCGCGCGGTAACGGCCCGGGGGTTTGAATCGGGGCCGCCCGGCACCGGCACCCACCGAGCCACCGACCGAGCCACCGACCGACCCACCGAGCCCGGCACCCACTGACCCACCGACCGAGCCACCCACCCACCGACCGACCGACCGAGCCCGGCACCCACCGACCGACCGAGCCCGGCACCGAGCCACCGCCACATAGCCCAGCCCCGCCGGCACGGAGCTGAGCCGGGGATCGGCACCCACCGACCCCACACCGACCGAGCCGAGCCCGGCCCCGCACCCGCCGCTGCTCCGGCCCCGAGCTGTGCCCGCACCCGCCGCTCCCCGGCACCGGGACCCGGCGGTGTTCCGGGACCCGCCACTCCTCCGACATCCAGCGGAGCCCGGCCCGGGCCCCTCCGCGGCTCCGGCCCCGGCACAGCCCCCCCGCAGCCCGGCAGCCCCGCACGCCATGAGCGCGGCGGGCGGGAAGGCGGCGCGGCCGGCGGCGCTGGCGGAGCCGCCCCGCACGGAGCCGGCCCGGGCGGCGGCGGCGGGAGGGAAGGAGGTGCCCAAGGTGCTCGTGGACCCGCGCACCCGGCGCAGCTTCGTGCGCGGGCGCTTCCTGGGCAAGGGCGGCTTCGCGCGGTGCTACGAGCTGGCCGAGGCCGAGAGCCGGGAGGTGTTCGCGGGGAAGGTGGTGCCCAAGTCGCTGCTGGTGAAGCCGCATCAGAAGGAGAAGATGTCCATGGAGATCGCCATCCACCGCAGCCTCTCCCATCGTCACGTCGTCGGCTTCCAGGGCTTCTTCGAGGACGCTGACTTTGTCTACGTCGTGCTGGAGCTCTGCCGCCGCAGGGTGAGGGGCCGGGGCTCGGGTGGGCGGTGGGCTTCCTCGGGTATGGACCGTCCCCTTCCCCCTGTCCTCCGGCACTGACCCCATCCCGTGTCCCTGCCCTGGCACTGACTGAGCGTCCCCCGCAGTCGCTGCTGGAGCTGCACAAGCGGCGGAAGGCGCTGAGCGAGCCCGAGGTGCGGTACTACCTGCGCCAGACCATCCTGGGCTGCCAGTACCTGCACAGCCACCGCGTCATCCACCGCGACCTCAAGCTGGGCAACCTGTTCCTCAGCGACGACATGGAGGTGAAGATCGGTAAGTGCCCAGGACCGGATGTGTCGGGGACCCTAGCCCTGGGACCAGCTGGCCAGGTCGTCTCTGGTCACACCCCGCCCTTCCCATCTCTCCAGGTGACTTTGGCCTGGCCACCAAGGTCGAGTACGATGGTGAACGCAAGAAGACCCTGTGTGGGACACCCAACTATATCGCCCCAGAGGTGCTGGGCAAGAAGGGTCACAGCTTTGAGGTGGACATCTGGTCCATCGGCTGCATCATGTGAGTTTAAAAAATGCCTTTGCAAGATCAGGGGGGCGAGTGGTCCCTGTGGTCCTGGTCTTCTTGGCCCATCCAAGCTTTGGTGTGAGCCAAAGCTCCAGGTCACAGTCCCTGGAGCTCCTGGCTGAGCCTGGCTGCCAACCAGAACCTGGCCTTGCCTGTGCTCTGATGTGCTGGGGTGTGTGTCTGCAGGCATATAGGCTGTTCAACATGACTGTCTCAAGGCATTTCCCAAAGGCATTTCCCATTCTTAACTGGAACTTCCCTCACAGGGTGCTAGATCCCAGCATCCCTTTCCAGGGGGAAAGGGAAGCACAAGTACAAGTAGCTGTCAGCACTGCTGAGTGTCCTATGCCGAGTGTGTTCCCTCTGCCAGGAAAACCCTCAGGTGTACTTAGAAGAGGGTCACTTCCACACAGGATCTTGAGTCTCTTTTATAAAACTGATGCCCTTTTGTCTGGGAATGCCCAGGTACACTCTGCTGGTGGGGAAACCTCCCTTTGAGACTTCTTGTCTAAAGGAAACGTACCTCCGGATCAAGAAGAACGAGTATACCATTCCTAAGGTACGGTGCTTCCCGTGGAGGATCCGTTCAGCTCACAGCAGCTCCCTGTCAGCCTCCTGCTGCACCCCCTGTGTCTGGCGCTCGGTGGGCTCTCATGGAACAGGGCAGTGGCTGTTATTGCTGGGTGGGGATGGTTCAGTCTGTGGTGGAGTGAACCTGTAAGGGTTCCTCCTGAGGAGCCAGCTGGTCTCTGCCCCCTGATCCAGCAAAAATCTGAGCTGGGCAGTTGGCACATGAAGGTGAATGGACATAAGCAAGTCCATGAGGTTTGGGCCAGGTTCCCAGTTCAACCCACTGCTGCTGAGTTGGTCTTGGTCAAGTCAGTTGACTTTGGGCTGTTAGGAGACAGCTCTCTGTGCTGCCCAATTCTGCTTCCCCAGGCTTGTGTCCTGCTTGCCTGATGCAGCACTGAAGCTCTGCTCCAAGCAGAACGTCCCTGGGTTGTGAATCCAGTGGGTCTGTCTCTAGTGCACGCTACCCCCTCGTCCCTGTCCCTAAACTCCACCTGTCCCCCAGCACATCAACCCCGTGGCAGCGAACCTCATCCAGAAGATGCTGAGGTCCGACCCTGCCACGCGCCCGACCATCGACGAGCTGCTGAATGACGAGTTCTTCACCTCGGGCTACATCCCCAGCCGCCTGCCCACCAGCTGCCTCACGGTCGCACCCCGGTTCTCCATCGCTCCCAGCGGGATGGAGCTGGGGCGGAAGCCGCTGACGGCACTCAACAAAGGTGAGTGTGAGTGCTGGTGCCCACGTGCAGCTGGGCTGCAGCTCTGGGCAGAGCCTGCCTGGCCCCCAGCAGCATCCAGAACCTTCAGTGTGGCGCTCCCTCCTGCCATCTCCCGCTTCTCATGGAAACTTGGAGCATTTTGTGGGTGAGGGGGCTCTCCTTGCTCTGCCTGGGAACAAAGTGGAGAGGAAGTACAGCAATAGCTGTAGCTCTGTGATGATGGGCACAAAGGTGCACATGAAGTTCTGCCTGAACGTGAGGAAGAACTCCTTTCCTGTGCAGGTGACACACACTAGAACAGGTTGCCCAGAGAGGGTGTGGGGTCTCCCTCACTGGAGATATTCCAGAACCATCTGGACACAATCCTGTGCCGTGTGCTCTGGGATGATCCTACTTGAACAGGGAGTTGGGACCCGATGCCCCACTGGGGTCCTTTCCAACCTGACCTGTTCTGCGTGTAAGGTGTTGCCTAGGGTATAAATCTGATGCCTTTGGAAACCTCTCCCTGGCCACAGCCTCACACTCTCCTTTCTTCTGGCCCAGGACTGGACAGCCCTGCACTGGAGAACTTGCCGGACAAGGAGGAAGCGGCGGGGCTGCGGGAGGTGGGAGATGCTATCACCTGCCACCTGGCTGACATGTTGCAGCAGCTGACAGCAGTGAATGCAGCCAAGCCCTCTGAGAGAGTGGCTGTGAGACAAGGTGAGCCTGGGGCAGCCCATGGGCTTTGTGGGGTGCACAGCATGTGGAAAATGTCTCCTAACAAGCTTCTTTCTTCTTGCAGAAGAAGCTGAGGACCCAGCCTGCATTCCCATCTTCTGGGTTAGCAAATGGGTGGACTACTCAGATAAATATGGACTAGGTAAATATTGTGGGGCAACGCTTCAGGCTTTCCTGATGTCTGAAGGGGCTGGGGAAAGCCTGGATTTGGTCTTTAATCACCTGTTCCTGTGATGTGTCCAAGACCACTGCCAGGGATGTCACCAAATACCCAGGGAATCCAGAGCAGTGGTCACTGAATATCAGCCCTGGCCACTTCAAGGTGGACAGGGGCTACCTGTGCATGAGATGGTGAGGCTCTCCCCAGCCTGCACAGGGACCCACGGTGGCAGCTGAGGCTGTTTTTGCAGCAGGTGATGCAGTAAGGGAGATGACAGATACAGAGGTGGAAAATTGCCTCCCAGAACTCTCACAAGGAGACCTGGCAGGGACTTGGTTGGGTGCCTGTCAGGGATCCCCTGGGGGATACAGCCATCTGCCTTTGTATTTCCCACGACTGGTGGTCCCCTGAGTTTGCAAGCCTCACAGGGTCCCTTTTGGGCAGGTTACCAACTGTGTGACAACAGTGTCGGGGTTCTCTTCAACGACTCCACTCGCCTCATCATGTACAATGACGGGGACAACCTGCAGTACATTGAGCAGAACAGCACCGAGTCCTACTTCACTGTGAGGTCCTACCCCTCCACTCTGAACAAGAAGGTCAGTCCTGGGGAAGGCAGCCCTGGCTGGGGAGTGGTGAGACTCCTGCCAGCCTTGGGCTTTGGTGGCAGGGTGGGTTCTAGGGAGGAACATCTCAAACTGGGGGTCACCTGGCACTCTTCAGGCTTCTTCTGACTGGTGACACATGGCCCCAGGGACAGACACTAGCAGCTCTGTTTATCTCTACTGTCTGAGGCTCATTTATGAGCAGTTTCACAGAAATAGGTCTTTCTTCACTTGTGTATAGTGAAGTGTTCAGCAAAGTGAGGCTAAAGTATCATGGTCCAAGTTAACTTTGAGGATTTGCACGAGTTTGTGCAGTGGCACCTCAAGCTGTGAAGGATGTAAGGAGGCTCTGGAACTGTGAATGGCAGCCTCGGGGTTACCCTCAGCCCCTCACAGCCCATCCCATCTGCAGATAACACTACTGAAGTACTTCCGGAACTACATGAGTGAGCACCTGCTGAAGGCAGGAGCCAACATCACACCGCGGGAGGGGGACGAGCTGGCCCGCCTGCCCTACCTCTGCACCTGGTTCCGGACCCGCAGCGCCATCATCCTGCACCTCAGCAACGGCACCGTGCAGATCAACTTCTTCCAGGTGAGGCCCTTCCCAGGGCTGCGGCTCCAGCTGCTCAGGGACTCTGGCTGCGTGTGGTGCTGCTGGGAAGGCAGCAGGAGCTGATAACCCGAGCCAAGGCTTTGCCCAGGGAGCTGAGCACTGGGAGGCTCCCCGTGCCCCCCTAGATGTGCCTCACTCAGGGAGGGGCCAAGCTCTGGAGCAGCAGGGAGGCTGCAGCAGTCAGTGCTGAGCTGGCTGTGCCCCTTTGCTGCACTCTGAAGGAATTCTGCAGCAGGGCCCTGTCCCCATGCTGTGGATGTGGCTGGGGTGGCACATCTACAGGAAATGCTGTCCCCAAGCAGCACAGTGCTCAGGGTGATGACTGTGTGTTCTCTTCCCCTCAGGACCACACCAAGGTCATCCTGTGCCCTCTCATGGCTGCTGTCACATACATCGATGAGAAACGGGACTTCCGCACGTACAAGCTGAGCCTGATCGAGGAGCACGGCTGCTGCAAGGAGCTGGCCAGCCGGCTGCGCTACGCCCGCACCATGGTGGAGAAGCTCCTCAGCTCCAAGTCTGGCTCGGGCAGAGTGAAGCCCTCTGCTTAGACCTTGTTCTTGCTGGACTCAGCATCTGTGCCAAACTGCTCAGCTGTGGAGGGAGAGGTCTGGGAGCTTCCCTCCTGTGGCACAGCTGGGCTCCCACTCTTGGATCTGGGCTCATTGCCACAAGGAAGCCCCTGTTGCTGTGGGAACAATGTTGGTCCCTCTGACTGACGCCCAAAGGTTTCTTGATCCTCACTCCTAATGGAGTGTGGTTTTTAATTCCCTACCTAGTCTGTTTTTCTAACTTCCCAAGGCCAAAAGCCTGGCTCCAAACCAGCCCTCTTGTTTGAGGTACCTGGGCCTGCTCTCGAGAGAGCAGAGCAGGGGGAGAGCGGAGATGTCATGTGAGGTGTCCATACGTGGCAGCACTCGTGCCTTGGGCTTCGGTTCCTCTTGTAGAAGCTCAGGTAGGGTATTGAACATGCCCAGGGTGAGACCGAGCAGTCGGCCTTTTAATACTGAAGCTACATGAAACCTCAACTTTTGTATATTGCATAACTTGATTAAAGATTGTTTGCTGCAGCATCCAGCCTGTCGCAGTTCCCTTCAGTTTGTTGACTTCCCCTCTGACTGAGAACCATCCTCCTACCCTTACTTCAGCCAGGGGCTGGGTGTGCCTCTCTCTGCTCCCCTTGACAAGGAGCAAGAGGGAAACTGGCAGAGGGTGATGGGAAGTGGGGAAGGGAGTAAGTGGTTTTGGGAGATGGTCTTGGGATCAGAGAAAGGGGGGTGAGTTTACTTCTCCAGTGTTGGGGAACCTTCCCCTTTCGCAGATGTTTGGCTCTATTTTACCACATGGTTACTGATTATGACTGCAGCCTCAGCAGAAGTCATCTGTAGCAGACTCCTGCAGGACCCCACTGACCTCCAGGTCTTCCCCACACTGCTCCCTGCCAGCACCCACAGGTGCCCTCAGGCCTATTTATCTTTAAGCAGGACAAGGGTTTTTTTTATAACATTTTGTATAAATATATTCTGAATAGAAACCAGGTACGAACCCTGTTACCTGTGTAACAAAATCCCACATCCCCGCACCCACAGGAATCAGACTGTACAAAACTATTGCTGTTCCACAGAGGAACTTTGCCATGGGGCTTCGTGTGCCTGTGCACCCAGTCAGTATTGGCAGCTGGCTCATAGGGAACACGTGCCCATGGGCATGCCATGAACCAGAGCACCCACGGGACGTGGGCCTGGGGCAGCAGAAGAGGCTGGGGGAGCTTCAGGCACAGCCCTGTTTGAGGGAAGGAATCCCTAGGGAAAAGTGAGTTCCCTGCTTTGTGCCCAGAGACAGCTGCTCCCGAACTGCTGTGTGACCTGCTCAGGGGCTCAGGCCTGGCACAGGTACAGGCTGCTGGGGACTGAAAGGGAGACAACCTTGTTCTCAGCCCAGCTGAGATTCAAACCTTCATTCAGGGGCTGTGCTGGAGGCCCCCCCAAGTGCCACAGGGCTACGCCCTTGCAAGCCAGAATACAACAGGCAAGTCCCAGTTGGGTGTGGCTGCTCAGCACTGCCTGGCCGAGCACAGCCCCCAGTGGGGCTGAGGGCTCAGCTCCAGCGTCGAGACTGGGGTACTGGTCCTGGTCACAGCTCAAACAGCTGTGTTCCCAGGCACGTGGCACGGGAGAATGCCCTGGACAAAGTTTGTTGATCCCTGGTGCACATCCCACCAGGACCAGTGCGGCCTGAGGGCCTCGCTGTGCCAGGGCATCGCTGCCCCTGCCCATGGGAAAACAACTTGCATTTTCCTCTTTCTCCAAGCACGGAGTCCACCCCAGAGAGGTCTTTGTTCTCTGCCTTCAGGCCCCTGAGTCTGACTGTGAGTGTTTGCAAAGGTGACTGCCCAGGGGGTCCCTCTTGGGCTCAGGAGACCCCAGGCAAAGGCACAGTGTTGCCCTGTGCCCACCTCTTCACACTGAGCTGCTGGCAACCCCCGTATGCTGGGCACCTCTCTGGCCCTGGGGAGGGGCAGAAGGACTCCAAGAGCCCCCAGGGCTGGGGCACGGGCAGGGAGGAGCGGCCACAGCAGCCTCGCGGTGCCATCCCAGCGTGTCCCCCTCAGACGCCGTCACCCCGCAGCCCCTGGCAGTAGTAGGGGTGGAAGATGCGCTCGTGGGCGCAGACCCGCATGGCCCCGTGCGTGTGCAGCAGCAGCCGCGGGAAGCGCGAGGTGAAGTACTGCACGAAGCCCTCGGGGACAGAGCCCAGGGCTGCCTGCACCTCGGCTGGCAGCTCGTGGTAGTGGTGCTTCTGCAGGAGAGAGGGCGAGGTCAGAGAGGGCAGCGGCAGCGGGGGTGGCAGGGGCAGGGCAGCGGGGGGGCCGTACCTTGTTCCTCATGGCCCGCAGTAGGTCACGCACCGACCCCCCCTTGTAGGTGCGGAACTTCCTCAGGTCTGGCGAGAGCAGAAGAGACACTGAGCGAGGTGGGACACAGCTGGGGCAATGGGCTGCCACAGCCCTGTAGTGCCAGCACCACCCCGGGTGCAGCAAACCCCAGCCTGGCTCTGCTCTCCCAAAGAAGGGATGGCACCTTTACCTGCCCTGGTTTTCAGCTCCTGGGTATGAGCAGGTGCCTCCTGGCCAGTAAAGGTAGTTTACTACCTGTCTACTCCCAGTCCCTATCTGCTTCACCAGACCCAGGGGCAAGCCTGGCCTCCCCATGCTCACCCATCTGCAGTGGGAGGGAGATGTGCATCCTCCAGTTGGTTCTCACCACTGCCCGAGCCCCTGATTCCAGGGCCGACACGATAGGACCCTCAGCTGGCTCCTTCTCCACGCGGTCGCTGACATCCTGTGTCCCCAAGAGCAGGGATGGGGTGGGTATGACACTGCCCTCACCCCACAGAGACCCAACAACGCCCCCACCCCTTCCTAAAGTAGCTCAGAATGAGCACATTGACCTAAACACAGCCATTCCCAGCAAGTTTTTCAGAGCACACCTGTGTTCACTGCCAGTGCGACAGCACAGGCTCACCTGGAAAAACTGCAGCTGCTTCTCCTGACTCCAGAAAAAGGGATGCACAAGGACCACAGGGGCCGATGGCCGGCGCTGGGGTTCAGGGCTGATCATCGCCACTATCAGCTCCCTCGCCACAAGCTTGTCTGGTGGTGAAACACAGCGGAGAAATCAACCCCCCCACCAGGACCAGGAGCTGCACCTCAGCCCAGAGCTTCCCACGGGGCCACACCACTGGGAAAGGGCCTCAGCTGGGAAGGGTCTCACCGTGAGCCTCCTCTTGCAGGCAGTTCAGCTGGTAGGAGCCTGCCAGGATGTTGGCCTGGCGCCGCAGGCTGTCCCCAAAGGGGTGCTGCCCCCCCGACACCACGTAGTAGAAGACACAGCCAGCTGAGAAAATGTCCACGGCGCTGGTCTGCAAAACACGGCAGGAGATGGGACCTTCAGGCAAAGGCTAAAGAAAGCTTTCACCTCCCAGTTTTCCATCCTTTTATGTGGACCATTGGCCATTGGCTGCAGAGCTGCTGAAAAACACGTCCCATCACGCCGGATCCCTGTCAGGGAAGGGACTTTCAGAGGCACAGCCAGAATTCAGGACTCCACGGCCTGACAGACACACTGGGGCTGCTGGTGTCCCAGGGGCTGGGCAAACAGACCCCAGCCTGAGGTTATGGGAAGCTGCCAGCCCCAGCAGGACCAGTACAGCAGCTGCTTCCAGCAGGAATGGGATTCCCAGCACTGAACGGAGGAGCAGAAGTGTGACCTCGGCAGCAACCTACAGAGTCTCCAACCTCCCCCCTCTGAATTTCTGAGGACAGGAGCCCAATGGGACACCCTGTGAACACAGCTGGGCACTGTCTCCCGAGGACAGGGTCACTGGGGCAGCCACTGACTGGGGTAGTGCTGGTAAGCAGCAGAGTGCCCGTGCCCAGGCTGGCTCGGGCTCAGAGCTCTTGTCTTAATTGTGCACCCCAGCAGCATGCCCCGAGGCCACTGTCAGTGTGGGGACACTGCCACAACAGCCCCAAGGAGCACCCAGGGCAGGGGCAGCAATGGCTCACTGACAGGGTTCTCCTTCGGGGCCTCCTGCAGCACCTCGGGCGCGATCCAGCCCTCAGTGCCAGGGATACCAGAGTGGAGACTGAAGCTCTGTCGTCCCCCCTGAAGCTTCTTGCAGAGGCCAAAATCTGAGATGACAGCGCGGATCTGCCCGTGGCGATTTGGGGCAGAGATGAGGATGTTACAGGGCTTCAGGTCACGGTGGACTGGAAGAGAAAGTGAGCGGTGTCACCTGGCAGGGCTGGAGCAAACAGGACTCTGCCAGTGCCCTGTATGCTGCCAGCCCCAACAACCCCTGCACAAACCCTGCAGCCTCCGCTAAGGATGGGGTGCTGGCCTTACCGATGCTGAGGGAGTGGAGATGGGCCAGCCCCGACATGGTCTGACGCAGCAGCGACACTGGGTCCAGCCCCCGCCGGTTGAAGCTGGGGCTCTCCACATACTGGAACCACACAGAGGGAATGAGAGAGAGGAACTGAGCCTGATTTACTGGGCAAAGGCAAGGCTGCCTGGGAGAGAGACCCCTCCCCAGGCTGACAGCGAGGAGTGGAGACCAGCCTGTATGGAGGCCGTTTGTGCCCAAGGCTTTTGTTTCCAGGGCTCCCAGTGGGCCCCATGTCCAGGGCAGGCAGGGGGGCTGGGCTCACCTCCTGCAGTGTGGCAGAGCAGAGCTCGATGGCGATGTAGTGGAACTGCCTGTCCTTCTCCGTGCAGAAGTAGCGCACAACGTGGGGGTGCTCGTCCGACTCGCGGAGCAGCTGCACCTCCCGGTCGAGCAGATGGACGCACTCGGGCAGGAGCCGCTTCACGGCCACATTTCGTCCCTCGAAGTGCCCCCTGTGCAGAGAGCCCTCAGCGTGTCCAGGTGTGGCCCCCGGCCAGAGCAGAGCCCAGTGCTGCTGCCCCATGCCCAGTGCCTGGTTACTGAGAGCCCAGCTCTGGGACAGGTGTGATGAGGATCAGAAGGAAGGGAAGGCAGCAGCTTGTTCTCAAAAGTCCCTGAACCAGCAGCCACCATGTTGGGCAACAGCCACTTTGGTTCTGTCCCTGTGGCTCCCAAGGAGAATGGGAGCAGAACGAGGGCAGGCACTCGCTGTCACCCACCTGAAGACAAAAGTTCCTCCAGCTCCATGGCCCAGCACATCCTTGGGGTTAAAAGAAACTTTCCCAACTACAACCAGGTCTGGCTCTGCATCTGCAAGGGAAGAGAAGACAGTCATCCTTCAGCCTCCAAGCATTAGTTCTGTATGGAGGACAACTAGTTCTTTATCCATCTGGCCATTTCTTGGGCCCTACTCTTATGTAGCCCACATTTATCCAGCAGTAGGACCAGCACCTCCTCCCATCCCAGCTGAGCTGCAGCCCTCTCATCTGTGGGCGTCCTGCTCCTGTTCTGGGTGACAGCATCTCCAGACAGACAGCCCCCACACCCTGCCCGTTCCCCCTGCACCCACCTGCAGCAGCCTCTGGGACAGCCGGACCCAGGCTGACCATCCCATTTGCCGGGTCCTCTGGGCAGGTTGAGAGGTGGGCGCTCTGTGAGAGCTCTGATGTGCTTCCCTGGCTCAGCCCTGGCTTCCCAGGCCCTGAGGGAACACCCTCCCCGGAGACCCGGCCTGGGAGCAGCATCTCCTGCTGCTGCTGCAGGAGCTGGATCTGCTCCTCCAGCTGTTGCTGCTGCGTCACGTGCTGCTGCTGCAGTTTCTGGAACACAAACGATGGGAATGCTCTGCTCCATGCCCAGAGTGAGCTGGGGCATTGGCAGGGCTGGGCACAGCAGCGTGGGCTCCACTGTCCCTCACCCTCCACCGCCACCGCCACTCACCATGAGCAGGAGGAGCAGGACTCCCCCACCCAGCAGAGCTGTGCCAACACCAGCCATCACCAGGTCCCAGGTGCCCTCGGGATACACCTCCACCTGCTCCCCTGGTGCAGGGTCTGGCTGGAGCTGCCTCTCGCTGCGGATCCCTGGCTCCTCCGGGCTGCTCGGGGCCAGAAACTGCAACACACACCCAGGGCTGGGTGACACCAGAGGGACAGACTGCAGGGCACTCATGTCTGGGACTCCCTCCCTGTCCTACCCCACACTAGGGACCCACTGCCCACACTAAGCAGCTCAGACCCTTCGGTGACCCAGCACCCTTCACTGCTCACATCATCAAACACAGTCCTGGCAGGAGGAGCCCTGGGAATGATGGTTTCCGTGGTCTTCCTCAGGTTCTCTGGGAAGGCTCGCAGCATTGTGGTGTGGACCACAGGAGGCAGCTCATGGTGCCCTGTGGTAGGAGGGGAACAACCATCAGTTTGCTTCTGATCACAGCATCTGTCCCTCACCTCCGCAGTGCCATGGGCACACCAGCAGCCCCGGCCCTCCTGGAGAATGGGGGACACTTCTGATGGGACCCCGAGCATGGGTAATGGTAAGCCCTGCTTCAAAGGGTCCCTGCTCACCCCTGGGTGGGGGTGTCCAGTGGCCCTTCCTGGGGAGGGGAGAAGGATGGGCTGAAACGAGTGCCAAGCCAGAGTCACTGCAGCCCCTAAGGTGACTCACAGCCTCAGTCCCATTCACCCTGCTGGACAGAGCAGGTTGGGCTGTGCCCCCAAAGCATACCAGCAGCTCAGGTTGCCCCCCCCAGGCACCCTCCTGGAGCCAGGACACGGGGAAGCCCGTGCCCACCGTAGGTCCACACCTATGAGGAGCCACTGGTTGTGCAGCGCGGTGATGCTGCCCTGCGGGTACTTGACGTCGGTGCTGGGCGTGATCTCGCACTCCCCCGACTCTCTCAAGGTCACGTCGTCCGTGGTGGGGCCGTCGATTCTGGCCAGTGTGATGCCCTGGGGCTGGGGGTGGCAGCTCATGGGGCAAGTGCCGCTGGGTCGGGCGCCCGCCGCGCTCAGCCCGGGCGGGGACACTCACCACCAGCGCCACGCCGCCGTGCACCAGCGACGTCAGGGCGTAGAAGCTGGTCGCATGCTTCCCCACATAGAGCGCTGGCCTGCAGGACAGGGACAAGCATCACCCTCCATCCATCACGGCTCAGGGCGGCCAAGCACCAGGACTGTGAATGCCACCGTGCAGGAACCACGTACAGCAGCTGGGTCTTGGTGGTGGCAAAGTCCTTGACGGACTGGTAGCTCCACTTGAGGACGTGGATGTCCTGTGACTGGAAGGTCAGGTAGCGCAGGGTCTCCATGGCCAGGTTGAGGTGGGGGATGCGGCGCAGGCTGTCCTGGTGCCACACGTAGATGCCGACCACGGGTGAGCCGTAATTCTGTGCCCACAGGACCTCCCCGCTCTCTTTGTCCAGGGTCACCACCAGCCCGTCCCCACTTGAGGCCAAGTGTGCCATTTCTGGGAGAGCAAGAGGGATAGGTCCCGCCTGGTCACCTTTAGTCTTGCCACCAGCCATGGGTTGCTGCCCCTTCTCCCCGGCAACTGGCACAGCTGAGACCTGCTGGCCCTGGCACCATCATCCCAAGGCACCCCCACAGCCAGGGTCCTGCAAAAATGCTGGCTCCCATGGCTCCCATGGCTCCCACAGCTCCCGCAGATCCCACAGCTCACTCACTGTAGTTCTGGGACTCCTCGCACAGCGGGGCCGAGTACTCGGAGAAGGTGGCGTTCCAGCGCAGCTCCCGTGACTTGGTGTCGTACATGGTGATGACGTACTCTGGGGACAGGAGCAGGGCAGGAGGTCACCTCCAGAGCCCCATTCCTGGGACCAGGCAGGCAGTCAAGGTGCAGGGCTCCCTTACGGGTCCGGCCAATGTAGAGCAGGGGGCTGGATGGGCACAGACCATCCCAGGCCTCTGTTGAGAGGGTGGTCTGCTTCTCCCCTGACTTGGGGTCCACGATGAACCAGGTGTCCTGCTTCTTCCCTGAGAAGGAAAATACCTTTTCTCTGAGTCCCTGCAGCCCTGCCCATCCATGAGAGCACCCGCTGGGCTCCTGCCCGGTGCCCTCCATGACTCCTGGGAGCCCCTGGTTGACCCCTCCTCTACAGGGGCTTCCATACCGGTGTAGAGCACCCCGTCCGAGCTGCGGCACGGTGAGGACTGCACCAGCTCCGGGATGGTGAATGGCAGCTTCTGCAACACCGACAGAAGAACGGATGCAGGGCCAGAGTCACCTCCCCCTGCCTGGTGAACCCCAGGGGGACACTGGATGCCACAGCCCCCCAGCCTCACTGACCATCAAGCCTTCTTTGTTCTTTCCTCCCAGGATATATAGGCTGCCATCATTGGGGTCTGGAAGGAATGCTGGCCTGGGAAGGAGGAGACCCTGTCTGTCACACCAGCAGTTACTGAGGAGGTTGTGGAGCCCAGGCGACTCCTGCTCTGCCCACCCGCCCACGGGGATGACACTCACTCTGCCACATACACCGGCACCTGCAGAATGGGATCTGAAACAGAGAGTGAGAGGCGACATCAGCAGCGCTGCGGTGTGTGGGACAGCGTGGCACCGCTGGCTCCCCTGCGGGGCACTGTCACCCTGCGTGGCACTGTCCCCCTGCGAGGCACTGTCACCCTGCGTGGCACTGTCACCCTGCATGGCACTGTCACCCTGCATGGCACTGTCCCCCTGCGGGGCTCTGTCCCCCTGCGTGGCACTGTCACCCTGCATGGCACTGTCACCCTGCATGGCACTGTCCCCCTGTGTGGCACTGTCCCCCTGTGTGGCACTGTCACCCAGCCCTGTCACACAGTCTGTTTGCATTTCAGACCCAGAACAGACACCGATGGCAGATGCTCACCCACCCTTGGTCGTGCCTGGGGCTGTGCCTGGGGCTGGGGCTGGAGTGTCCCCCAGGGCTGGAAGCACTGCTGGCCCAGAGCCCATCCAGCAAAAGCCAGGTTGGAGGAGCATCCCCAAACCCCAGATAGAGACAAGCTCTGGGAGCCAGGTTGTGAGTAAACCCCCACCTGGGTCACTACTCACCATCCTTCAGCGTCCACTTGATGTCCCCTGTGCTCTTGCTGACGGCATGGAGGTTCCCATCCAGCGTGGAGACAAAGAGCAGTGTTTCTGGGACAGTCACAGCACCACCTTTGAGGCACTACGGCAGACACACCATCCCTGAGAGCTCAGCCAGACTTGGAGATGAGCTCCCAGTCTGGGTCCTCTGTGTAGTTCAGCCCCTGTACCCAGCACCCCACAGAGGTGGGGCAGAGCCCCACAGTCCTTCTGCTCCCCAGCGAGGTGAGACTAGGAGGGAAAAATTTCCTTGCATCAGCATATTGAATCTGCTCATTCCTCCAGCTCTACCCACACAGGACATCACAGAATCGCATCTGTTGCTGACTGCTCAGAGGTGCTGTGTGCCATAAACCCCTGGCCAGTGGCCCCAGCACTGGGGCAGCTGCACTTGTGGTGACTGGCACCACCACCACCCGCAGTCCCTGGCTTCTGCAGCATCGCTCACATCCCACCAGAGCAGTCCTGGGGCTCGAGCAGCCTTCCTCCTCCTCTCCCCAGAGCCAGCTACCCTGGACACCTTTCTAAGGGTGACATGAGCAGCCCAACTGTCAGCTCCTTCTAGAAACAAACGAGCCGGGTGACTTTTCATGCCAGAGACATGATGATTGCTTGGCTAGGCCTTCAGAGCTGCAGGTTTCAGCTACCTGACAGTGAGGAAGTAATTGCAAAGTCTCCTGGGAAAAGGAGCTGCTGCTTCCATGTATGGCACCTGCACAGCGAGCGCCAGCTCAGCCAGTGGCACACACACCAGCCTCACCCCGTTGGCAAACAGGGATCAGCAAACAGCACCGGCACCCACGTGGCTCTGGCACTCCCTAACGCCAGGACTCGGCAGCAGTGCCTGAACTCCTGGCTGCCCGCAGATCCAACGTGGGAAACTCCAGGACACCCCTCGGACCTGCTCCCCCCACAGTCCCAGCCCTGCTCGGGGAGCCTGAGTTGGCAGAATCCAGCCTGAGGGCCTGGCCAGGCTGTGGAGCGGGGAGAGGCTCCAGCCAGTGCCCAGCCAGTGCCCACGTATGAGCACGTGCCCATCTGCAGAGCAGAACCCCGTGGTACCAGACTGGCCGTGGCATGGTGGGGTCAGGAGATTCCTCCAGCTGCAACAACACAGTCAGCAGTCCCAATAGGAGCCAGGTCACCTGGAGCACGCGTCAGCTCCCTCCCAGTGCACCTCACGTGAACCTCTCTGTCTCCAGACTAGTTCTTTTATTTGCCTTTCTTCTTGCTTAATTTTCAGGTAAGGTCAGAGCAAGTTTTCCAGCTCTGACTTTGCCCAGAGGATGTAGTTGGGACAGGTAGGGAAGGGGACTGCTCCCCACTGCCACTCCTCCAGCCCCTGCAACCACACAGGGCTCTCAGGGACAAGCCAGGCTGGCAGACACGGGGCTCCCGTGGTGTGGCCACCTGCCTGGGGGAAACTGAGACTGCTGGGCCCCCCCAGCTGTCAGTGTTCCCCCTGATGCTCTGTGGTTTCTTCCATCTCTTCTACAAAATGTTGTGTTTTGGTGACAGGGCACTCAAGCAAAGGTCCAGCTGCTCAGCCCGCTCCCCCTGCAGCGATGCTAGTGGGGCCAGAGCTTGTCCGTGAGCTCGGGGACACTCGCTTCCCCCAGGACAGAGGGGGAAGCGGGGCACAGACAGCAACAGGGCACCAGCATCAGCTGCTTCCTTCACTGGAGCTGCTCTGCCCATGTCATCCAAAGCCACCCTGGCACGCTGCCCTCTCCACTTGAACCACCACCAGCAGCAGGACCTGGATCCGGCTCGGAGGGCACCACCCTGCCAGGCAGCAGCTCCGCGGGCAGGACCAGGCAGGAGGGGGCCGAGGGCGCCCAGGGAAGGGGACTCTGCTCCCGGCAGCAGCCAGGCCCAGGGTGGGGATGGAGAACAACCTCCGGGGCTCCATCGCACCGCGGCGATGGCCACGGGACCCCCAGGCCAGCACCCCGGCCCCTTTGCCCACACCACGCACGCCCCTCAGTGTGCTGGACCCCGCGCTCCCGAGCAGGGGATGTCCCTGCCCGCACTGTCCCACCCGGGGAACACGAACTCTCGTGTGTCGGAGCCCTCCCGCAGGACACGCGGGGCACAGTGAGCACAGGCACCCTCGCAGGAACCACCGCACTGTCCCCCTCGATCTTCCCTCCCACAGTCCCCCTCACAGCACTGTCCCTCCCGGCACAGCACTGTCCCTCCCCGCACAGTCCCCCTCACAGCACTGTCCCCCCTCACAGCACTGTCCCTCCCTCACAGTACTGTCCCTCCCCGCACAGTCCCCCTCACAGCACTGTCCCCCCTCACAGCACTGTCCCTCCCCGCACAGCACTGTGCCTCCCCGCACTGTCCCTCCCCGCACCCCCAGCTCCCGGCGCGGCCGTACCTGTGCCGGGGGCGGCAGGAGCGGCAGGAGCAGCGGCAGGAGCAGCGGCAGGAGCAGCGGCAGGAGCCCCCGGAGCCCCCGCGGGGGCGGCGCGGCTGGTCCGCCCATGTCCCGGCCAGGCCAGGCCGGGCCGCGCCGCCGCCGTGAGTCAGCGGGGCCGGGGCGGGTCCCGGACGCGGCTTCCGCCCCCCCGCGCTCCGCACACGCTCCGGGACACCCCGGGCCCCTTCCCCCGTCCCTCCCCGGTTCCCGATCGTTGTCAGGCGCAGGAGGAGCCGCCCCCGCGAGCAGCGCACACCCCCTGCATCCCTCCCTCGGCCGCGGTCACATCCCGGCCGCCCGGACACCGAGCCGGGAAAAATTCCTCTCCCCGGTAACGAGAGGCAGCCCCTGCAGCCCTGCCCGGCCGTTCGCCCCGCACACTCAGACCCGCTTCAGCCCAGCCCCAGCCCCCTGTGCCGGCAGCTCTGCCCGAGGGACAGCGGGGGAGCGGTGGGATTCCCCCCCCGGGAACTCAGTATTGGAGCCTGGACACTAAACCGAGCGGGAACGTGCCCCCTGGGACGCTGGGAGAACGACTGAGCAGATTCGGGCATTTATTTGTGTGGTGCCTCTCCTGAACTGTCTCGGCGCTGGGGTTTTTTGGGTGGGGGGAGAGGAAACTAAGGCCGGAGGCGAAGCCGAGAGCCCGTTCAGCGACAAAGGTGAGGCTGCTGAAAGCCCGGCACCTTTGGGGGCTCTTAAACGGGACTGTGACACCGCAGCCAGGGCTGGGCCAGCCCGGCAGGACCAGGACAATTTTGGTGTAAAAGGAAATTAAAGTCTGGCTTTGGGCAGGGGGTGGAGAGGGACCATCCTGTAACTCACAGCCTGTGCGTGAGTGGCACACGGCAACAGCACCTGAATCCACACCCTGGGTGACCAGCACCCACAGCTCCAATGTCACACCCAGCACTGGAGCCCCTGAATTTCTGCCTGTGTCCCTCTCCCTGCAAAGAAACTCATGACAAACCCTTTGCTCGCAGCTGTTCATGCAGGAAGAAGCAGCTCAGTACATATAGAATATTGAAACACTCAAAAAAGTATTTAATTATCAAACTTTAATTCATAAGACTAATCTTACAGAATAAAACACAAGGATAACCAATCAAGGTTACACTTAAAAAATCCAGCAGTGCAAATCTAAGACTAAATATTTGTCATCTCCCCCCTCCCCCCAAAATAGGCAATAGATTATTTAAAAATACCATAATACATGGTACTTACATATTCCATTTAAAATAAATCTGCAGTGGACACAAGTATCTAAGACTTTTTTTTAATATAAAACCAAAGAATGAATTGCTTTGAGTATGAATAAGACAGAGTGAATTTCCATGAGTCACAAAGGTGAATCCTTGGCTAAAAGGTAAAATGGCCATATTTCATACAAGACTTATTACGGCTTTCCTGGTCCCCTCCTCCCCCCCCAGTGACAAGGACATTAATTAACAAAACAAGATGCCAACAGCCTCATCCTAACAGGTGGGGGGAGGCTGGAGTACAGAACAGAGGGTGAAAACGGCTCCACTGGAAAAACCACGTTACAGAGGAAGAAAAGTAAACAAAGGAAAGAAAGTCTGGAAACAAGCCCTGTGGTGTGGGCACAGCAAGGACGGGAGCAGGGAGTGCTGTGCCCGTGCCAGTGGCACTGGTGGGGTCAGGGACCATAGCTGTCGGGCAGGGGGTGCAGAGTGGACCCCAATGTGGCACCTGGGCAGTGGCACAGCAGCGAATTGGCCCTTCAGAGCACGGAGGAACAGCACACATGTACCTGGCAGGTACAGGCTGGGCAGGTGTGTGTGTGCCACGGGCACAGCACCAGGGTAGTGACAGCTTCTTATCTCATTTGAGTCCAGATCACTCTCTACCATCACCAAAACATCCTGACTGTAGTTACACCTTCCTCATCAGTGTCATTAATGGAAATTAACCATTGACTTTAAACTCAGTACAAAACCGTGTAACACAAGCTCTTCATGCAAGACACAGTCTCTGTTCAAACCCAACCAGGCTAAGCAACACGCTCCTGCATTCCCAACACAATACTGATCCCAAGACTGCTTACACCTGGGATGCAGAAATGGAGAAGGAATACTGAACTTGAGACAAGGAGGAGAAACCCACAGCACTGGGCACGGAGAAGGGAAAGGGATGGCACACAGGTGAGCTGTGATGCTCAGTGTCACGGAACACGGTAGCAAGCTTGGGGATTGACACGGGAGGGGTCCCCACAAGATGGCACGAGGGGACTGCCCAGGCACTGGGAGCCACCAGCAAACACCAGCTGTGTGCTGCAGAAACCCACATTTGCCCCTTGGATGCTTTAATCTGCAATTAGCAAACCCAGAAAGCACTTAGTGTAACCTCAAATGGAGTTGCAGCCCAGGACGCTCCCAGGGAATCACACCTACACAGAGCAGGAACCAGTTGCTATTGAAAGCACCTTGTTAAATTGTAATTTAACCAAAACACACTTTGGTGCAGCTCTTACCATTAACTTCCTACAGAAGATTACAGATCTCAGAACCATCTTTATCACCAAATACCGAGTGTACTCGCACTTTACACACAAGCTCTGTCTCACTGAGGACCAACCACCAAACTCCTTCCAGGGCCATTGGTTACGCTGAGTCTGCCATGGGATGGTCACAGTGACCAGAGAGTAAAATCCAAAGCCAAGAAAGGCTGGCAACGCCTTTGAGGCAACCATGGCACTATCCCACTAAAGAGAGGGTGTTTCTTAACGTCAGTAACTGCCTTGGAAAAATTGGTGTAAGCCAGAACACACAAGGCTCCACATCATTCCCAAAGAGAAATAATCTTAAAAGCAGTGCTGCTAACTACAGCTGGAATATTAATTTCAAAGAACTTGCACGAAACCTGGGATATTGAGCCAATAAACACCAACTAACGCATTTTATAAGTCACTTTCCTATATTTTAATTCAAACTTTGCACATAGAACAAAAAAGTGAAACAATTTCATTTTTCCAATCAAATCCAACCTGAAAGGAAGCACCTAAACAGGATCACATTTTCTTAGTTTACAGTATTTTCATGTTTAAAATGGCTTTGTATGTAACCAAGGGGTTTGTGTTCAGTTTCTTTCGAGCTGCTGGGTTGTACCTGGCCCAGGATGCAAAGTAACTGTGCCCCTGGGCAAGGAGCAGCAGGAATGTGAAGAGCTGCCCTGCGTCCTGGTGCCTCAGCAGCGGGGCAGTACCTGCCCCCCTTGGCACTCGCCCCAGAGTTACTCACCCGGTCGCTGCATCCTGCACAGGAGCTGGGGAGGAGCTGGAACTCGGGCACGTGCCCTCTCCAGGAGCAAGGGGACGAAGGAACAGGAAAGGAAACAGAACATGAACGGATGCACAGACAGGTCCGAGCAAGTCAAGGAGCAAATGGGAGCTGATCATCACCCAACCAGGAAGGTGGTTAAGTGCCAAGGTGACCTCAGGTGACAGAAAGAGCCAGTGTTACCCCTTTTCTTTATTCTGCAGCGCCCACACTTTCCAATGGATAATGAATTGTAAATTTAAGCCTTAACACCAGGACTGGCAATCAGAAAAATGACACGTGTGTGGCTGCATTTCTTCCATAACGTTGTCACCAGTTAACTCAGGACAGCTCCTCTCTGCCCTCGCCGTTCCACAGAACAGCCAGGGGAGCTGGCAGGGCTCTTCTGCCCCAAGCCACTCGTGTCAGGACACACTGCTGCTGGCTTGTACACAGAAGGGAAATACCTCAAGCTACAAGAGTAACAAGCACATCACTAGTTTCTATGTAGGATATGAAACACCTTTAAAATTCATATTGCATGGCTGTTCTAACAGAAAATGCAACCCAAAAGCTATCAAGAGGCTACAGGGAAATACGTGACCTTAACACCTGCCAGAAAGCCAATGCTTTTCCCAGTCTCCTAAGTAAAATAAAAATAAAACAAATACTCATTTGGGAATTTGCACCTGATGAGTTTCAACTGCGCTTTTTCAAGGAGAGGGAAAAGTGCACATGGAGTACATTAAAATCAGCTGTTCCTAAAAGGCTGTTTCTCCATGAGTTGGAGCTACTGGTATGGAGCAGCTGTGTGCCATGTCAGTGCCCCAGCACTAACACAGAGTAGGGATGTGCGAGCTGCTCCAGTCTGGCTGCACAATGGCACCTGCTGTGGGCATGCACCTGTCCAGGGCTGAGGGCTCTGTTCACAACACCTGAGAGAAATGGCACGTGGACGGCTGGGATGACACGTGGAGCCTGGAACCTTAGTTCAGACAGCATGAGGTGTGAGCCTCCTGTGAACTGGAGCAGGAGAAAAGCTGGAAGGTGATTTACATTTCAAAACATCAGTTGCTGGACAGGTAATCTAAATTTGGTACAATTCAATGAATTCAAAAATCACTATAAATTTTCAAATCCAGGTCACAAAAGACTGCTGCGGTTATTAAGGATCCAAAACAGCATCTGAGCTTCTCTCTTCCCCGCTCCTCCCACCTCAAACAGGGCAGGAAGGACTCTGTGGTTCCCTCCCTTTAGAAGGTCGGTGTCACCCCACTCATGCCAGACAGTGTTACGGTGTTTCCATCCATGTCACTGTGTCCCCCTGCTCACACCAGGCAGCACAAGGGTGTTTCCAATCCAACGTGTCAGTGTCAATGCAGCAGCTGCAAAATGATTCTGGACTGCAATATGCAAGAAAATGCTCCCAAACTGTAGCAGCCCGGGACAGGAGGTGAACCACTGACCGGTCACGAGAGGGGACAGCAGGCAGCACTGGGTCACCTGCCACAAAACATCCCCAGGGAATTCATCTGCTCCAGACAGGCTACAGAGACCAACCCAGAGATGTCCGTGTTGGGAAAAGGCAAGGAAAAGTCCCAAACAAGCATCTTTGGGTTAAAACAAAGTATTAGTTCTGCTACCAAAGAGTGGAAGCTGCCCTGAAGGGCTGGTGGGATATGGCTTCACCCAACAGCAACGCTGCACACGGCTACAGTTTGTTCTTAAAAAGCTGCTCCTGAAATTCTCAGTCACAGCCAAGTAACTAAATTAAGTCTAATGCTGATAACTGAAAGATTATGAAAATAT